TTAATGCAAAGTCATAGAAAGCTATAGACAGAAGTCAATGTATCATATGTGTAAAACATAGATAGGCAATCGCAAAGGTTTTAATCTTATATTATGTAGAATAAATCGTTTAAACAAGAAGGACAAGAAGATAGCTGCAATTGAGCGTTCAGTATCCGAAGTTGGCGTACGATCGTTAAAAAGAAACGCTCATCGCGTGAAGTTTGATGACGTTAGTCAACTGATTCTATCGGTGCAGTTTCGCTCGCGAACCGTGTAAAAACAACGATTAATGGGAGCACCTCGATATTTCCTCGTCGCTTTCGTCCGTTCTGTCCTTGTTGTGACACACTCAGCGTTATCGTGACGTGCTCTCTCAGAATATTAAAGAGCAGCAAGATTTTGACGATCGAGACTTTGCACCGGAACAACTGGAGAAGGGGAAAAGTATGAAGAGTGAGGACTGGACTCTCGTCGATTGAACGCGCGCAGTAGATCGGTGAGTAGAAGAGAGAAAGAGAGAGAGAGAGAGAGAGAGAGAGAGAGAAAGAAAGAGAAACAGCGAGAAAAAGAGAGATGTAAAGCTACTGGAGAGAAACTTGAAAACATACATCTCTCCCTTTTCCGACGCTGATTAGAAATATATTAATCTGCTTTAATAATGAACTCGGGAGCAATACGTTATTTATTTCGTTCGTTATTTCAATAATGTGCGCCTTCTGCACCTGCGAGAAATGCATATTCGTGGCCGCGGCGAGTGATGAATGGTGTGTTCGGGGAGACTTAGCGCTATTCTGTTATTCTATCTTCGTTGTTTATTGGACGTAAAACAAGGATAGAATGACACAGTAGCGCTAATAGCGTTTCCCCGAACACACGCTAGGCGTGCAGTCGAGCTGCTGGACGCTGATTGGCTCGCTGCTTCGGCCATGTTGAATTCCTTCGAGTATCGAAATTTTGAACTGCGATATTGCGATTCTCGAACTTGTCACTCAGTTGCGGGACACATCGAAGTCGGAAGGCGGGAGGACATTTCGTATTTCTCGTGGTAATTATTGTCCGAAAAAAGGCTAGTGAACGCGAATAGTGATCGCGAGTGTCTTGTAAAACGTCGTTCGATCGTCGTGACGTATAAAACATTGATTGCGACTGTTACTGTGTGCTAGTAATACCGAGATAATAATGGCGAGAATCTCGGAGAAACAGTTTTTAGTGAATTGGGAATCTGGATTGTTCTCTATGCTTATTCTCATCACTTTCTCGAGATCAGGTACATCGACAGCACGATGAAAACTCGAGTATTACCAGGTACATGTATATAATCTGTAAAATCGGTTGCGTTGTCGATGATTATCATTCATGTCTTTGATGAGTTGTACAGTATTTGCGCGCTAAAAATTTATTATGTGGCTGCTTTCATTTAGGTATTTTTTCATACTGATGCTCGACGCTCTTTTTCGGCGTCAAAATAAGTCATATAATAGAATATTAAGCATCAATTTTGATTACGTGATATATTTTGATGTTGAAAATGAGCATTTAGCATGAAAAGGCATTTTTTGGCTGCTCACGCGCTGTCTGTTTCATTTTATCATTTTTTTTCTTCCATATGTAATAAACGATAAAGATAGAATTAATAATGAATTCTGTTACTTGCTGCATACTAGATCAGTGCATACTAGAAGCTGCTGTACGGGGTGGTCCACTAAATCGACCATCTAAAATATCTCGCTTATTTTTGATGATATAAAAAAATGTTTTAAATGAAAGTAAACGATTTCGAGGAGGATTTTGATCAATTTGCTTTTATTCTAGGTGGAGGCGCCAGAAAGATATGAAGGTCATCTCCACTTTTTAAAATGGAATTGTATAATTTTTTTGCACAATATGATTCCTTTAATTGTTCTGCATATACAAATATTAAGGTAGAGATATAAAAAAAACCAATAGTTTACGAAATACTTTATTCCAGCACATAAAATATTAAATAATTCATAAACTATTAATTTTTTAATAATCGTATATTAAAGGGTTCTCTACATAGAAGTTATAGATAGTCATGGAGTCTTAAGTCGTAGGAAACTGACCAATTTTAATCGAGTATTCTTATATTTGATTGTGATTGGTTGGTTTCCTACGACTTAAGACTTCACGACCATCTACGACTTCTATGTAGAGGACTCTTAATACTTTAATGAAAAGAATAATGAGATGAATCAGTTGATGGAAAGGAAACACATAAATGCATATTTAAAAAATTAAAAAATTATCGATTTTGCATAAAATTTTTTAAAAGCAATTATGTGTTTTCTTTACTAATTTATTCATCTCTTATTTTTTTCATTAAAGTCTTAATGTACGATTATAAAAAAATTAATAGTTTACGAATTATTTAATATTTTATTTATTATTTATGTCAATATGTATCGGAATAAAGTATAAAATATCTCAAAATTATTGGTTTTTTGATATCTCTACCTTAATACTTTTACATACAAAATAATAAAAGGAATATCATATTGTGTAAAAAAATTATACAATTCCATTTAAAAAAGTGGAGATGATCTCCATATCTTTTTGATGCCTATAATAAAAACAACATAACCAAAATACGTCCTCGTCGAAACCATTCCAGTTTTGAAATATTTTTCACATCATCAAAAATAAGCGAGATATTTCAGATGGTCGATTTAAGTGGACCATCCTGTATGCATAAAATTGGCAAAGTTCAAATGTAAAAGTATATAAATATTTTAAACGATTGACTATCTACTAATGATATTGTTACATTATTTAAGAAAATATACATATATCATTTAATTGTCAAAGTTGATTATATTGTATAATTATTGCATATTATTGATATTTTATATAAAGCAGCTTTTAATATATGCACTGATCCAGTGTAGTGCGAGTGATCGAATTCACTAATGCTCGTTTCCACCAATGTAGATTAACTTTAATCTCGGTTCAATTTATTCTTTATCTTTTTTTAATTTTTAGAACTAGAAAAGGACGAAGAGTAAGTTGAACTGAGATTAAAGTTAATCTATATTGGTGGAAATGAGCATAAAAGTTTAAAACGTGTGGTCAAACTGAATGCAGATATATGATCAACAATGAAATATGCCAACAAACTCTCGCGACGAGTACGGTGAAAAGTAGGATCTATCGAATCAAAGTAAATGTAGATGGTAACTGGAAGATAGATACATGGTTACCTATCGAAGATATGTCGATAAATATTAATCGTTGGTAAATATGAAAAACATTAATGGTAAAGATCTTTACTATTACTCGAGTAATAGTTTAAAACGCGCGTCATATAAAGATATTCACACAAATTATGTTATATTACGTTTTATATTATATATATATATATTTTTTTTTATACAATATTTTTATTATTTTCTAGTTTGCAAAATTAAAATTGCATTTTGTT